GTTAGCTTCGCCAGCGGCCCCCTTTCCCTTGGAGGCAGTTCCCTGCTCTCCCCTGCGAGAGGGGCACCCTAATCCATTCACCTCATCCATCCGACTTCAGAGTGTATTCGTTGGGTTTTCAGCAACTCACCACCAGCATCCAACCAAATCTAGCGGATCAACGGCGCCTCAACTTAGTTCCTGGTTAGCTCCCAAGTATGTGTACATACATTTATATATACATATGCACGTATATACACATGTACTTATATAAAATTAATGTTATATATATACTTATATAAAATTAATGTTATATATATATGGATTTATAACCCTTTATTGTTGGGCGCCCTTCACCTACCCGCTGTAACAGCTCACTGCAACTGGCCCGAACGGCCTCCAACAGCTGGTTGGGGAGTTGGGACGGGAAGGCGAGGTAGAGGCCGAGGAAGATCCCTGCGACGCGATCGATCTCCACGCACAGCAGCACCAGCGACTTCACGTGGCTTGTAGCGCCCCCCGCACCTGCCATTCCTCCGAAACCAAATTCGTCACAGCCGCTGCTGCCAAGGCTGCGCAGGGAATTGCCTGATAGCATCAAAAGACACAGATCTCGAGAGGGGTGTCGTACATCCTGCACCCAGCGGGCGCAGCAGGGTATGATAATGCCGGCGGGACAGCCGCTGCCTGCGAGCGCTGCCGTATTGGCGCCGATGCCCCCGCCGCCGCCGTTGAAGCCGCTGCTATCCTTTCTAAGGAGGCCCGCGGCGCCGCTGCTGCCGTACTTCCCCGTGCCTATGCTGTCTGCGCCAGTGCTGGCGGGCCCGGCTGCGCTGATGCCGCCATTGCCAAATCCACCGTCCATCAAGCGCTGTAGGAGGGTGTGAGAGAGCTTGAAGGCCTTGGCGCGCAACATGCCCAGCGCTGCAAAGCCGTTGGCATTGGTGTTGTGCGCCGTACACGTCATGCTGCCGTACTCACCCATATAATGGACTGCACCGCCGCCCGCTGCCAGTGCGAGCGCCAGATCTCGTACGGCAGCGTCAGCACCAGCCAAGCGCCCCGGGAGCGCCGACGGTGTTCCCGGCGCGTGCAGCTGCACGCCGTACAACATCATGGCGGTGCAGCCGCAGAACAGAAGTATTTTAGCAAGCTTACAGAATCGAACATAGCTGGCAAAGGGAGTTAAAAATAATACAGAATACACGAACAATAAGTTAACAGAAATTAAA